TCGCAGACGCTTTTGCTTCGCTTGCAAGATCTCTGGCTTTCTTATCTCGTATCCTGGCAGATTTGGTATCTAGATGGAAGTCGGCATCGACCAAGAAGACATCGTAGACGTTCATCTCCTCAGGCGAGTCTACACAAACAACATAGCTGTGTCTCACTAGGAACCACTTGGGCCAGTGTCGATTCATCATGGCGAGCTTGGTCCAGCCTTTCCTGTTGTCAACACCTTTGGAGGATTTGATCATCATGTAGCCTTCCTTGCCATGGTAGCCGCCCTCAGCCGCTAGGCGGACACCCAGAGCAGACAGCTCGAGGAACTTGCACAGGCGGTTGCTGTCGGGACGGAAGATGAGGTAGGTCATGAGACCTCGCAGATATTGTTCCAACTTCTTCCGTTGGCGTTCATGATGATTCTGTTTCGCCTGTAGGGGCTGACCGGCGGCACCGGCAAAACTGCCCTGTCTCGCTACAAGGGCACCGACAGCACCCTGAGCTTGAGAACCACTTACGCTTGACTGTCTGCGACCTAAGAATGAGGACTTGCCTCGCTTGGGTCTGTTGGGGCGTTCGGTAGCGCTTGCATCGCCGTCTGGTCCGCTGGCTCCTGCTGCAGCCTCTTCCTCCTCTTCCTCACCTTCGTCATCAAGGATGCCGTAGCCTCGAAGACCTCGGAGATAGGGTAACACACTTCTGGGGAAGCGTGGGAGTTTTGTGCGTGGATCTTCTTTCTCTTCTTCCTTCTCAGCCTCGCCGTCTTTGGATGTCTTGTCTTTTAGTTCTCGCATACGGTTAGCCGGGCGACTACGGAAAGCGTCCTGCTTCTCCTGAACTTTGAACTTGAGATGCAGGTTGGCAAAATCGGCAACACTCCTGTAAACAACCCACTTCATCCTGGTCAGGCCACTGCCGTATTCCAGCTCTATGCGCAAAGCAGTATGCCGATCGCCCTCCTTCTTTGCGGGGCGGTCTGTGTCGGTGATGGTAACCTTGAGCTGCTCGAGAAGGACGGGAATACGCCTGTGGCCGTGCTCATCGCGTTGGAACATACTGGCAAAGAACAAGGCTGCGGGTGCACCAGCAAGCAACTCAGCCATCAGCTCAGCCGACTTTGCGTGGTCGATTTGGCGTTCGGCCTTTTGTCGGTTGCCGAGAAGCTTGAGGCTGTTCTTGATGGACTTCCACTTCTGCGCGCTCAAACTTGACGTCCGCTCGCTACGCATCCGCCATGGTGAGGGCTGTGTGTCTCCCGCAGCACCTCTGAAAGTAGTCAAGCTTCGCAAGTTGCCGGTAGGACGATTCTGGTGGCCCTCTTCCTCGCCGTTGGGGTCGTGTCTTCGCAAACCTCCATACGAAAGTCCCCTCGCACTGTGTAGTCCGCGTGTCCATGCGCTCTCTTTTGCGATGCGCGAGCGACCCTCGTCTTCTGAGTAACCCTGACGCTCGTTCTCGGGTATGTCATCCATGGTGGAGCGGCGTAGGAAGCCCGGGCGGGTCGAGGTAGGCGTCATGGTGGGTGAGTCACGCGAGAAGAAGCCGCCTGTTGTCTGCTTGGGCGTGGTAGGGGCCGTTTGGGTGCCTTCGCCCTCGCCGTCGAACCAACGGCGGCTGCTCTTCCGCCTCTTTTGTCTCGGTCTTCTTGAAGCACCCTCGCCAGCGCTAGACTCGCCATCAGCATCGGCCTCGCTGTCGTGTCCCTCGAATCGCGGCTCGTCGTGCTCGGATGTGGGCGAAAGCTGGCCATGGGGCGAGCCTTCATGGCCTGAGCTTCCTCCCAATGCACTCAGGCTCCTGCCGTGTCCCTGCATGGGCGCCGCCAGTGCCCTCAGCTTGCCCATGAGCGACGAGCTCTGCCCACTGCGCTCCTTGCCCTTTCCTTCGCCGTCCTCGACCTCCCATGACTGCTGGCGCGAGTTGGCGGCGGGCGGATCGGATGTGAATGTAGCGGAGCGAGCGAACTGGACGCTCTTGCGTTCTCGGGGTGCGTCGGAGAGTTCGCCCTCGGTAGGGTGTCGGGACATGGGCGCAAAGGGCGGGTAGTAGGAGCTGGTGGACCCATTGGACATGTGCGAGGAGGGCTTCGGGGCGCGGAGGGGGGCTTCAGCGGCTTCGACGGGCACGGGGATGCTACCCCCGTTGGCGTTCGCTGGGGCATGGAAAGGGAATTCGCCGGCTTCCTTGCTGGAGATGGGCGAGCCGGTTGGGGCAGAGCGCATGATCTTGGGGGCGCCGTCCGCGGGCGAGGGGTTGTGTATGTCTTGCGTCTCATTCCTGGGCTGTCCCAGGCTAAGCGGCGATAGCAGTCGGCCGGACTCGTCTGTCCTTCCTGATACTGCGGGCGATCGTGAGCGAGGGCTGCGCGTCGTGGGCGAGCCCCCGGTCTTGCTGGAGCCAACCATGATGACGACACGGAAGAGGCAGAAAGTGTCGGCGGGTGTCTTCTCACGGCGAGGTCGCGTGGGGGTGTGGTTGCTCGGCTTCTAGGGCGTTATACAGCCATGGTAGCCAGGAAACGTGCTGCTGCCGTCACTCGTCACGATGGATTGATGGAATGCTGCCCCAGGTGGAGTTGCAATATGCTCGCAGTGACAGGTCTAGGTCATGGATAGGCGAGAGAAAGAGACACGCGGCGCAGGTGATCAGTGTACGTCGTGCTGGGTCCCTGCGCGGTTCGAGTAATCTCCCAGGTGCTTTCCCCGGGCGTGAACTGTCTGGTTGCGCTAATACTTCCAAGGTTTTGGCGTCAGGGGCCCTCTCCGCCTTGCTGACCGCCTGCACCGCGTCGAGGCTCCACACCACAGATATGTACAATGCAGCGCCCTGCAGAACGCGTCAAATATCGCTTTCGTCGCGTTCGTGACGTCGCATTCACATGCAATGCCCGCTTCTCTGCGACAGAGACTCGATGATGTCGCCGCCGTCTCTCTGCGGCGTGGCTGCACCCCGCACTGTACTCCCAATCAGTACAAGCATACCGAACTCACCACACGTGTGCACAATGGAAAGACGCCTTGTACCGCTGTATAATCGCGCCATGCATCCATATGCCATGGCCAGCACATCGCCCAGTGCCGCCTGTGAAGCTTGTCACACGATGATGTAGTTCTGCCGTCGACGGCAGCCTCGGTCGGCGATCCCCTGCCCCTCCGCATGCCCATGTTCCGAGATACACCAGACGAATAGCTCCATATTCTTCCTTCGGTCTTGCTAATCGCTCAACCCTATATCGCTATCCTCACTATTCTTAAGCCTCACCAGCCAACATGGCAGCGACCACGAATCCCCTCCACGGGACGCAGAACTCGTCCGACCTGCCCGTCTCCTCCCGCACCATCACAATCGCCGGCATCCTCGTTGACGTCCATGGCCTCGACCAACTCCCTCCTTCCCCGTCGTCAGTCGCCTGCCTATGGCTCCTCAATCCGCGATTGCAGACAAAAGAGACCATGGCTCCCATAGCCAGACGCGTCATCTCGACCTGGAACAAGCGCGTACAAGACGGCCGGGCCGGCAAGAACCCCAAGGGCTTGATCGCTGCTGCATTCGACCAACGTAATCACGGATCCCGCAAGGTGGACGATTTGCATAATCAAGCGTGGAGGGAAGGAAACGAGACGCATGCCCAAGACATGTTTGGATGCTTCCACGGCACCGCGACCGACACCTCCCAGCTCATCAACCATCTCGAATCCTACATCTTTACCGCCAAAGATAGCCCCAAGATCGAACAACACTTTGCCCTTGGAATCTCGTTGGGTGGACACGCGACATGGCATTGCTTGCTAGGTGACCCCCGCATCACCGCTGGCGTAGTCGGCATCGGCTGTCCAGACTACACGCGCTTGCTGACTGACCGCGCACGCCTATCCAAGAGAAAGACATACACGGAAACAACACCACCTGGAAGCGCATTCCTCGGATCCCCCGACTTCCCACAAGCGCTGCAGGACGCCATCGCCCAGTATGATCCTGCCGGTTTATTGCTACCGGGCATGTTCAATCCTCTAGGAAACGACACCCAACCCGATCAAGAGCAACTATCTAGAATGAAGGCCCTGATGAAGGAGAGACTTCAAGGCAAGCGCATCCTGAACCTCAGTGGACAGGCAGATAAGCTTGTTCCCTACTCGGCTGGTGAGCCGTTCTACAACATCTTTAAACAGGTACTAGCAGAAGACCCAAGTCTTGACATCACCTTCGAGGACGTGTTATTTGAGGGCGTAGAGCACGCTTTTCCTAAACCTATGGCAGACAAAGCAGCGGACTGGCTATGTGACATTTTGGCCACGGACGATGGGCCTATGTCAAGTAAAATATAGTGAAGCGCATACAAACAGCCATCGCACATAATTGAATACTCAAACAGCACCATCATAGTATCGCATCTTTCTTTCGCTTTGCTTGTCACTCGTTCACCCTCTACTTCTGTTTCTTGCTGCTGCCAGAAGTACCAAACATCTTGCTTCCATGTCTGCCTCCTCTCGACGCACCATGCGCAATCTGCGAAACCGCATAGCCCCAGAACACAGAATCCCACGCTACCACGCCTTCTCCACTCCCGAAGAGCAAGCGGCATACATCGATGACACAGCCCCCTCTCCCGCCAGCCTCCCTTACGCCGTGAACAGCTCGCCCACGTTGACTGAAATATCTTTAGCCCGGGAAATAATCATCAGACCCCTCGAAGAAGACGGAGATATTTACGAGCAAGAAACGTCAAGCAACCAGCCTAAAACCGCAGAAGAACACATTCTTGAGCGCATTGGCAGATTAATTGCCATGTTCACACTTTACAACCTAGCCAGGACTTGCGAGGAGATTGAAGAGGAAGATTGGGAAGAGTACATCACACCCTACGAAGAAGGCGATTTGGAGATGCTGGAACGTGTCTGTCCAAAGCAATGCTGGAACGAGGAGATAAGAGAGTCATGGCCGAATCTGATCGTATTCGCGCGGCGGGCAAGGAAAAATCCTAGTTAAAACTGATCGCACCAGATAGTCCACTCACACCAAAGTAAACCTCTCCACCAACCCCCCATCATCCATCCACTCACACACCCCCAAGTCCTTCGCTGAAAAAGGAACTTTACCCAACCTCTCATACACATTCCCCTCCCTCCCCTCCACCCTCGCCACAATAATCGCATGATAACTCGCCTCTCTCCCCATCTCCGCAGGCCTTACATGTTTCCACAGTATCGCAGCCCACAACTCCCTCCCCCTCGCCCTCTCCGTATGCGTCTGCGTGTCGAAACAAGTATACGTAGCCTCCATGTCCCCCTCTAGTTTCTCCTTCGTCTGCGCCACAGCACCCTTCTGCCGATTCGGAAAAACATCGCCCTCACCTTCTCTCTGTTCGGGCGCAGGGTACAAGCGTTCCAGCGGCGCGCTAATGTCTATGTACCCGTCTTTTACCTCGCCGAAAGGATTCTGAGCGCTCTTCAATGTGATACTCGTAGCGTGGATCTTGGCTAAAGCGGTCCATTCCCCTTTGTCCCACCCCACACCCGAATTCGGGCTGAAGAGGCCGAACGGCCCGTCGATGGCGGCCCAGGACCAGCTCGGTGCGCGGTATACTGCTGGTGCGGTTGTCGTGCCGACGGCTTGCCAGATGAGATCGTGAAGTAAGGTTGGGGACCAGTGTCCCGCGAGGTAAGTGGTTGGAGAAGGGAGCAAGGAAGCGTAGGTGCGTGCGAGGCCAGAGAGGGCGGGCAGTTTATCCGAAGGTTTGGTTAGAGAACGGCGGGAGTAGGCGTCGAGGACTGCATGCCAATGTAGCGTGGGGTTGTCTGGGATAGGTTTATCCGGAGAGGAAGGGTGGGTGTGGGATGGGAAGGTACGGCATGTAGTTGGGAAAAGAGTATCCCCTCGTCCTGGCAGGTAGAAACCATGCTCGCTCAGGAAAGAACAGTAGCACTCGAAGAACATCTGCTCCGTGCCGAAATGTAGCACACGCGGTGCGAGCCAGCGTTCTTGCAACGCCCAGCCGCGTTGGCTGAGTGGTTCGGTCTTTAGCAGTGCGTTGTTTCCGGCCCAGGAGGGCTTTGCGGCTGTTTCGCGGGAGGAGGAGAAGGCGTGGAGGATTCCTTTGATACCGTCTGTGGTTGTGTATTCGAAAGGGGAGTAGATGGGTGCGGGGCGGTTGTGAGAGAAAATGGTGAGACCGGATGCAGAAGATGGAGAACCGGTTGCGGAGAGCATGATGTAGGCGTTTGAGTAGACCGAGGCCATGCGAGATGTTTCGCGCGACCAGTCTTCTGAGTCGTCTTGGCAGATACTGGGGCTGTTAGTGTTTGGTGTTCTGAGTAGGATGGAGAGGGTTGGCTTACCAGAGGGAGTCGATCCATAGATATCCGATTCCCATTTCTCTGGCTATGAGAATGGCGTCCTGAAACGTCTTTGGGAGCTGGTCGGTATCGATACCCCTCTTGTTGGCTTCGATATTGGCACGTGTGGTTGCGAATGGGCTTGAATCGCCCCAGACATAACTCAGTGCTGCGTACCGTCCCAGTTCTCCTTCGGCGGGCGCATAAAGAGCTACTCTGTGCGGCGTCGAGTCTCGTATATCCAAGACACGAGCTGGAAGAGGTGCCGTATCGACATGACAGCGCCGATCCGTCCGTTGTTTTTCGCAATCGCGTACCCAGTTCAGGGCATGTGCAAGTGTATGCGGCGATGAGGAGAGTGTTTTGCGACCTCGAACGACAGCGGCCAACGGATCGCCGTCTACAACACCATTAGTCGGAGCAACCAACAGCTTCACCAAATCTCTTAGATACTTACAATCAGCACACAACCCCACAGCAGCAACCACCCAAACCTGACACCAATACTTTGTATCGACCGACACCACCATGAAACCTCCGGTATCATTCACACCCCTAGCGAGACACATCTTCCAATCCGGTCCTCCGCCACGCTCGGCACGAATTCCAGGTTCCTTCTTCGCCCCACTGAAGTCGGATTGAAACTGCGCGACATCGTGCTGTACGGTCTTGCAGATTGCGCAGTCATCGGCAGCGGCGGCTTCGAGGTCTTCGATAGATTGGTGGAAGGGTATGCCGATGGGTTCTTGATCTTTCGGACAGTCTTGCTTGTTCTTCCAGAGGTCCCTGAGAGGTTGGCTACTGATTTGGACTAGGCACGGGTAGTCGCGTCGAGTGATAGTATGGATCTTGTAATCGGGTGGTAGCTTAGGGATGTCGAGGACGTCGACCGACTGGCAAAGATCGCATAATGGCATGTTGACTTCTTTTTGATTCACTGCGAAGCTTTCATGTGTAGCCGTGATGAGAAGACGTGCTGCATATCGGGCCCTTCTATAGATTTAGCATTGTTGTTCTCTGTCGACATCATCGCCAGGCAGCCGTGGTGGCGAACGTATATTGCCAGACCACTGCACGTGTTGGAGTACCCTTGCACAGCACCTTGTAAAGCACCTTGCACAGCAATGCGATTGGAGGCGAGTTACCTGGTTTGCTTTGGTGAGATAACTTGATAGGTGCAGTTCGAGGCGTGGCTATGCCGGCACGAATGTACTGTGCTGTGCGGGGGAAGGATCAGCCAATGGGCATGGCTCGCCCTACGTAAATAATTCCTTTCAGGCTTGTTCCTTCCATTTTTGCCAGCGCCTTGCTCTGGTGATAAGATGCTACTTCTTACGTATGACTGCATTGGTTCGGTATGCATGCAATTCAGCGCATATTCCCGTGGCCATGAACATGCCTCACAATTGTTAAAACATTGCCCTTGTCATTTATAGCGAATGCCCACCGTACATCTTGCCTTCAACGACTGCTCCCACATCTTCTGCCGAGAAAGCGCAATGGCCCAGTCCATCAGTACCAGTACTGACAACGCCCCACTGCAGTTTCTTCTCGGCAATGTTCTCACCACTGCCAACCTGTTCTGTCGGATGACAAGCTGCGCTGATGGCCATACTGCAGCTGCCCACAATTGGCATTCCTCGCTTATATGGTGTGTACCCGAAAGCAACTATGCTGATGACCATTAGTCCACCCAACACTATCACTGATATGATGGCCGGCGGCGAGTAGCCCAGAGTCTTGTAATCGAATGGCATGTTCGATGCATCAGACCCAGTGCCCGGTTTCCCAAATGGGTCGTAAAAGTCGATGGCGATCAGGAAGATGCTTTGCGAAACCAGCCAGTGTAATGTGCCACTCAGCACCATGAGAGGTATACCGAAGCGATAGGGTAGCTGGAGGAAGTATGTCGACCGTTGAGCACCAGCAGGTTGATGAGTTACACGGAGGCCTTTGCGCTTGCCAGAATAAGACACCCATTCGTAGCCCATTAGCATGGCGGTAAAGAGAGCATTATAGCTGAAGTACAGAAATGACAGAGCTAGTTGGGGCGTGTTGGCGATGACAACGTTGGTAATCAAATCCGGTGGCATATAACTGATGGCTGTACGAGGATCCACAGCGCCTAAAGGCAATCAGCACCGTGCTTAATTTCACATGACAAACAAATCATACATACCAAATGAAAATTGATCAAAGGTAGCCCCCGTGGGTAGATGTTCGATTCCCATCTTAAGTAGGAAACCGACTATAGCTAGGGCAAGTAAAAACCTGATCGGTAATGTAAGCAAACTACCAACGATATATTTGGTTTAGCGGCGTAACCTACACAGCTACAACAACAATTCTGCGGGTGATGCTGGTCACATCTTTCCAGTGATAACGCCCGTCCCGCCATTGTCTTGGTCCCGCCTGATATCCTCTGTGGTGTCGAAAGTCTGCTAGTGTAGACAAACACATGTCCTTCGTTGTAACGTCTTCGTTTTCCAGAAACGAGACGACGGCGTCACCCATTGTCATAAGCGGCTCGTCGTGCACAAAGAATACAACATAGAACATTAGACATGCTTTGACTGTAGAAGAGTTAGAGTTGATTCGATCTCGAACGGTTGATCGACGAGCGTGTCCCTTACGCTGCTGCGTCTGTATAGGCGTAGAGAACGAGATCTGAACTCACAGAGATTGAGAATCGTAATGACAGTCGTAATAGTAGGCTCGAAGTGGAGCTTGCAGTGGGTTTGAGCCGGCTCACTTAGACAGTACTCCACTGGCGTACGTGACAGGTCGCAAAGCCCTTCATCGTCGCAAAGCCATCCAACCTGCCAAGATTCTTGCTTCTTGACATCCTGTACCCTGACTGAACATGGATTGAGTAGGTCGTGCGACGCGGAACACATCCAGTGGTATGCATTGCTAGCAAACCCGGAATCCGACGCAGTGTATGCATCAAAACCCGCAGCCCAATAAATGTGTGAGCCATTAATAAACTTGTTCTCCGTTGATGGAGGAAAGAAGCTATCGTCGGACACTAAAAGCAGATTCCGATGGTTGGATTGTATGCTAGTGGCATATTCGTCAATGCATCTGTTGGGCTCAAGCTTTTCAAGGTTGCCCGCGCGTGCTTTCTCCCAGAGGGATTCAAGTACGGATGGGATTTCGCCAGGACTGGCAATGAGCCTGGTCTGCCTATTTGGTCCACCTATGAAACTGGTACGGAGCTGCGGGGATTGTTCTGTGCAATTCGTGCAATTCTCTCCGTCCAGAAATGCTCGCCCGACGGAGAACACCCAGTAACTGTTGGATGATATCGAACCAAACACCGCAGAATTGTAACTGATAGATGTAAGTTACTAAAACGCTAGGATCAGTCAATGCCTTACAAAAGATGCAACGGCAAGGATGAGAGTCCCAATGCTGCCCACAGCACAGCTCTACGCCGGCTGATATGTCCGAGATTGCGTATGCCAGGTACACCCACATCGAGGTATACACTAGGCTTGCGACTGTGGGCAGAATCGACTTCGCTTCGCGTTGGTGCAGATAAACACTGCATTGTGTAGTTGCTCCCAGCCAACAGGATCGTACTCAAGATGTTGATGCCAAGATGGAGCCCGGTGTTCAGCCTTTTGACGTGATCGCAATCGCCATCGAAGAAGACACCCTTGGCGCCAGAGGTGGCAGCCAGACCTGATACCATGGCCACGAAGTTAATGAGAAAGACCACTGAAGCCAAAATCGCGAAGTTGAGCACGCCAAACCGCCATCCAGTGAAGCGAGACCCTAGATGTTTCTCCACCGCACGCTTGCGCAACCCAAGTATCGATGCTGCCTTCGCGCGAATGCTTTGTGGTAGCTGCAAGCTCCCGAGAGGTTTTCCATTACGGTCAGTTTGGGCTGTAAGCGGTACCTGCATCTCGAGATTGCTATTGGATCTCCATTCGGGGTGTATCGTTGAGCGTATCCTAGAAGGCAATAACCGCCAAATTGAATCAGGCATTGCGAAACCCATGAGCAAAAATGTTGGATCCGGTCCAAATCGCTAAGAAGACTTTTAATAATCTTTAGAAGTAGAACAACGTTAAAGAGACCAAAGAAGCGCGTAGTACCATGCGAGAGATTGCACCCTCGCTGGTACGAGCCCACCTATCAGCAGTGCCGCCTGATTTTTGCCAAGTATACCGGCCGCACATTCTGATGGGTTGAGGCTTACTCTGAGCCTCCTGCAAGGCGCCCCGCGCCGCATTGGGGGCCAAAGTCTGGATGCTAATTCGGTCCTATATCGCCAATCCGTGTGTATGGGTTGCGGTGAATGGTCGACTATCGCACGCATGTAGGAGCGTGAGATCAATGAACATAGTCATCGTATCCAAGACGTAGACGCAACGCGACGCGGGTGCGAGGAAAGGTTCGTTTTCGTCGGGTGTCGCGCACCTCGGAACTAACGGAAGCAGCCTTCCCGAGAAGCGCCCAGCAACCTGTGAAACAGCACCATCAGGGTGTGTGACAGCGAAAATAACCATCAGCGGTGCCGGTGCGAGAAGAGCGGTCTCGATTCAGGCGCACCGTCTGCACGAGTCATAAACAGACTGGGAAAAGGTGCTGGCCGGGAAACGCGACGCCGCGTCGTGCGCGCGACATGTTCGCGTTGCTGAGGAGCGGTAGTGCGGCAGAGCTCGGGGCAGTGCCTTCTCAATGCTCGTTCGTCACCGCGGCAGCATGTTTGATCGTGTTTAACGAGCGAAGATCTACTGAAAATAGAGTCAAGGAAATTGCGTGCCTCGGGGCATCGGTAAAGCACGTCAGCTTGCGCATGAAGGAAGACCCGTGGACCGGTCCGTGGCCACTTGGGAGGCATCGGATGCGAATTCAACAACAGCAGTTTTCAGGAAGTGGAGGTGATGTAAATGATATCGTAGTTTCATTGAGTTCTTGCCTGTTAAGTTTAGCGGCACGTACTGGCAGATGCGATCCAGTGTCTTTGATCAAGCATCGCAGCGTAAGCATCATAATAATATAGTACATGTCAGATAGAGTCACTTCCGGTGAGCCATCCGATTCCACCATCAACGCCGATTCGCCGAAGAAGAAACCCACATCGAAAACCGTAAGTCAATGCAGCCGAAATGATAACTGAGACGTGTTTTGTTGCCGTTCGTGGGGTAAGGAAACAAGAAGGAAGAGAAGAGATGGGTTTAGACGCGTCACATCTCCATCGCGTCGGTGTCTGCAGTCGCCATAGGGGCGTCGGCGACTGGCTGGGAAACAGGTGTCGAGGCAGGCGACGGCGTCAACTGGCGAGCATTGATGCGCTCACCCTCCACACGGGGAGTTGAGCCGAACATGAGGTTGCTGACAGTTCGCTCTAATGACCAGCCAACGAGCTGGCACCACTGAAGGTTATCCGAGAATAACCAGTAGCCCTGGACACCGTGTTGCTTAGCGCGTACGAGATACGCGTTGAGTGATTCCTTCTCCAACATCACCAGGACGTCGGTGAAGTCGAAATGACGCTCAATGACGCGGGAGTATGCGCGTGCCGCGTCGCGTAGATTGGGGTTGGTCATGACGTTCTTCCAGCCTACTCCGAGAGATGCGATGAGCGTGTTGACGGTGTTGCCTTTGTCGTCGATGAGCTCTTCGGTCTTCTGAGCATCCATCTCGTTGAGGGGAGTGATTTCGACATTGGCAGTTGGGCTCATGCGGACTGACTTGCGCGATACGGCGATAGGGCGAGCTTCAGCTTCTGCCTTCTCTTCTTTCTCGACCTTCTCTTCGTACCAGGTGCCCGATTGCGACTCGGCTGCCATGGTGTAGCCAGGCTCTCCAGGGTAGATGAGCGTCATCCCCGGGCCGTACACAGGCTCGGGCTTCGGCTTTGAAGGCGATTGAGTGACGATTGATCCGACGGGTAGATTCTCCTCCGGGTCGTCGACGTCGGCGATGGATCGTTTGCGCCCAGCGGTGGCATTGGAAACGGCGGCTAGATAGTTGAGCGAAGGCGGAGTAGGGTATTTGGGGCGGAAATTACCCATTGGTGCAGCGGCGCTCTGGTGATGCGGAAAGTAGTCCTGCGGTTGCTGGGGCGGCAGGACCACAGTTGGCGACGAGGCGTAGTAGTTAAGACCCATACTGTATGTTTAGTAGTTTAGCAATGTTAGAGTTCGTGAAGGATACAAAAACCTGTCTTGATCAAGACAGGACAGTGAGCATGCGACGATATAGTAAAGTCACTATGAGCGACAAAGATGAAGGTGGATGATGGCGAGAAGGTGAGGCGCGATGGAGATAGTGGATGATGGGGATGGGTAATGGTGATGGATGGGAGTGGTAAGATGAAGAAAAACCGAGCGAGGTGTGGGAGCGTCCAAGTTATAGACAGAAGAAGGGCGGCGTGCGGAAGTTTGGCGCAAAAGAAGTGAGAGGAAGGAAGGAAGGTTTGGAGGGCACCAGAGCGGTCTTGTAAGCTGCGCACGAGTCCCGTGAGAGGCTGGCTGCGACGCGGTGAGAGGCGGCAGAATGTAGGGTAAAATAGCCCGGCGAGTGATCTCCAGGGCAAGTCTAGCGCGTATTGGCCGTCACGCGAGGGCTGCCTGCCGGATTTGGTATGCGCCAAGGCTCTGTGTAAGGCAGGGCCGACCGGGGTCGTTGATGGAAGTTGCCGTTGATCGCGGGCTGAGCGCATGAGTCAGCAAAGCAGGTGGTGTGGCTGTTGTCTGTGGCTGGTGCCCGGTCGCAGATAATCCGCGCCGGGATAGTGGCGGCGCTGCGACGCGGTTTTTGGTAGCAAAAGTTAGTGGAGGAGCTGCAAGGCACCAGACGCAAGATACCCCACGCAACTCTGTTTTCGACCCCCTCTTTCTTGTATACCGTGCTTATAGACCTGTACCGTCAAGATGCAGGCGCCAGTGGTTGTCATGAGTATGTGCAGTCGCTCAGCTGAAGCTGCGACAGCCCACTAACACATCAACAGACACGCAGACCCCGGGCGGGGAGCGCCAGTTTGGCCGCAAAGCTCAACTATCCAACATCACAGCAGCCAAGACGGTCGCCGACATCATCAGATCATGTCTCGGTCCCAAGGCTATGCTGAAGATGCTGCTCGACCCAATGGGCGGTATCGTCCTGACCAACGACGGCCACGCTATCCTCCGAGAAATCGAAGTCGCACACCCAGCAGCCAAGAGCATGATTGAGCTGAGTAGGACACAAGATGAAGAGGTCGGCGACGGCACAACCACCGTCATCATATTAGGTGCGTAGATAGTGCGGGGAGATTGATGAGCGTGTATTGACAACGAACAGCGGGAGAAATCCTCGCACAAGCTCTGCCCCAGCTTGAGCGCAACATCCACCCCGTCGTCATCATCCAAGCATTCAAGAAGGCCCTTGCCGATGCCCTCGAAATTATCAACGAGATCGCGGTCGAAGTCGACGTCAACGACGACGAGCAGATGTACAAGATCATCAACTCCTCCATTGGCACAAAGTTCGTTTCGCGGTGGTCAGACCTGATGTGTGGACTGGCTCTGAAGGCAGTACGAACCGTTTCGCTCGACATCGGCTCTGGAAAGCAGGAGGTTGACATCAAGCGCTACGCACGTATCGAGAAGATTCCCGGAGGCGAGATCGAAGACAGCGAGGTTCTGGACGGAGTCATGGTCAACAAGGACATCACACACCCAAAGATGAGGCGGAGAATCGAGAACCCTCGTGTTCTGTTGTTGGACTGCACACTGGAGTACAAGAAGGGCGAGAGTCAGACAAACATTGAGGTCAGCAAAGAGGAGGACTGGAACAGGATTCTCCAGATCGAGGAGGAGCAAGTCAAGCAGATGTGCGATGCCATCGTTGCTCTGAAGCCCGATCTCGTCATTACTGAGAAGGGTGTCAGTGGTATGTGACATTGAATAACTCCTCTCGTGGGCTTGCTAATATGGCGTAGATCTCGCACAGCACTACCTCGTCAAGGCCGACATTACTGCCATCCGCCGTGTCCGCAAGACAGACAACAACCGTATCGCGCGTGCGACCGGCGCGACGATCGTAAACTCCGTATTCGCAGCTACCGCTTCAGACATTGGTACCGAGTGCGGTCTGTTCGAGATCTCCAAGATCGGTGACGAGTACTTCACCTTCCTCACAAAGTGCAAGAATCCGAAGGCCTGCACTGTCCTGCTCCGAGGACCCTCAAAAGACATCCTGAACGAGATCGAGCGGAATCTACACGATGCTATGGGTGTCGCCAGGAACGTCATCTGGAACCCTAAGCTCTGCCCTGGTGGTGGCGCCACCGAGATGGCCGTCGCGGTCGGTCTAGACCGAAGAGGAAAGCTGATCGAGGGTGTCGCACAATGGCCATACAAGGCCGTCGCTGAAGCGATGGAGGTCATTCCACGCACACTTATTCAGAATTCCGGAAACAGCCCTATCAAGGTGCTCACCCAACTGCGCGCGAAGCATGCGGAGGGCTACGAAGACGGCAAGCAAACTGGCAGTGTCTGGGGTATTGATGGCGATGCAGGCAAGGTCGTCGATATGCGGACATATAACGTCTGGGAGCCTCTTGCTGTCAAGGAGCAGAGTGTCAAGACTGCCGTCGAGAGTGCTTGCCTATTGCTCAGGGTGGATGACATCGTTGCTGCGAAATCGGCCAAGCAAGTGAGCGGTCCGATAGGCGGTGGTGATGATTAGATGTAGATACGCAAGGCGTGTTCTGCGAGATCCTTGCTATACAAGCCAGGAACAGTCGCTAGGAATGAAGAAATCACATCTGCCAACCATACATTAGACCAGGCTGTACACCAACTTTGGTGAAACTCAAAACAAACATGTACTAACGTTAGCATTTGTTGCTTTTGATGTGATCAAGACATGCGCGGCGACCTCCGCAGACACATCGCTGGCTGCTAATAGTTCAAGGCTTACATTGTGAGATATCCTTTGGACGTGATCCTCACGTTCGGCTTTTTGGTGGATGTGAGATCGCTCGCCGTGCCGCGCTCAACACGATCCACGTGCCTCATCCCGCTCAGCCTCTCAATCACCCAATCGCATCGCCCTCCTCTTTAAGTACACTTTGCGCATAAAGCTCGCACCGCGAACTCCAGCTATTCAGCCAGACCCTACGCTTTGCCACGCAAGCACATTTTCAGCCTGCGAATTAGGCTTCACATTGCGACTAGTAACGCTGCCTGGTCGTGCTGCTGCGCCGCATCGCTATACTGCATTTGTGTCAACATCTGCTCAGCACCATGGAGACGGGCATCAGCCTCGCCAAGGCCTACCTCAAGTGCTTACATGCGCTGCGATGGTTGCTCCTTACCTTATCTGGCATCCTCAGCGGTGGTTGTGAGTTTGACGGTTTGTATGGCTCTGCCACGAATGTGCGGGTGGCCCGAAGCGTGGCTACGTTAAACGAGTATGCGAACTGAGTTGAACCGATGATGGGCCGGTAAGTATATGTATAGAAGTCGTGCTGCTCAGTATGAACTCGTTCATTCCCCCATCAAAGCATCTTTGGGTCTTCTCAATCGTTGCATTCCAGTCTTGTCTTCCTCCCAATCATTGCCGAAACTTCCCACGCTCTATCAAGCAAGCTATCAACAGCCGAGTATGAATACTATAATGCTCAGGACAAGAAACAATCTCGAGCGGCGCGATGACTCTAAGACATGTCCACTGGAAGATGCTCATGGTCCACAGATCATTCCCTTCATCGGCAACCTCACATTCCACCAATTCGCAACGATCTTGTCCGGTGCCTGTGCCATTCTCAGCACGTTGATCGTTGGGGCATTGATCGCGCTTCACGCCTTCAACTACTCGAACCCCGTACAACAACGGCAGATCATCAGGATCATGCTTTTGATACCATGGGTCGCTCTTTTCTCTTTCCTGATCGTCTGGCAAAGCGACATTGGAGAATACCTAGCCCCTTCACGCGACTTTGGTTGCTCGATCGCACTTTCGTCCTTCTTACTGTTCATGTGCGATCTTGTCCTATCGCACCAGGAAGGATTCGATGGGTTGTTTGGAGAGGGTGCCAAAGCCAAGGGTGCGCGCAAAATGAACAGTCCAACGTGGCTCAGGGTAAGCTCTCACATTTCTGTCAAAGGATTCAAGACCATATCTGACACTCTACAGCGTACCTGGTACGGCGTACTCCAGTTTATACCGACTAGCATCGTCATATGGATCGCCACGGCAGCTACCCTCGCTACTGGTACCTACTGCCAGCAGTCTAATGACGTGCACTTCGCCCATCTCTGGCTCACCATACTCATTGGCTACACTACAACGGTCGCTATCGTTGGCTCACTGAGGTTCTACAAGAAAAGCAAGAAGTTGCTCCAGAAGCATCGGATCATACTCAAACTGTTTACATTCAAGGGTATCCTCGGTCTGAACTTTCTCCAATCGGTACGCTCAACAATCCCTGAAGTAGCCAATATGTATACGACGTACTGACACCATCCTCACAGTTCATCATTTCGCTGCTTGCAGGCCACGGAAAGCTGAACCCTACAAAGTACATGACGTACCATGATGTCAATACTGGTCTTGCGTCACTCATTCTCGCCTGCGAAATGCCCCTTTTCGCCGTACTTTTGCTCTTTGCATTCTCGCCATTACCGTATAAGCAGCAGGGCAGTCCTGCCGCTGGACCACTCAATGCCATCGTCGATGCGTTCAATCTCTCAGATCTACTGTCAGCGTTCTATCGGGGCCCTATGAGATTGGTCAGGGACCAACAAACACAGATCAGGCGACAGGAAAGTGTTAGGATTGCATTGGTCTCATCCAGTGATGAGGAAGAGAGGAGAGGCTGCTCTGTCCCGTAAAGATTTCAGAAGCAGGCTCACCAAAGGACGGTACCTTATCACTTTTCTTATCTAGAGACCTGATATCCCCGTGTTTGCTCGTCGCGCTTTTCGTCAGTGAAGTAGAGCTTTGACCAAGTCAACAAACGCTTCCCCACAAACACTACCTTTAATCCTTTTCTTGCCACTTTCATTACTCTTTCTTTCCAATCTCATTAGCAGCAAACCATTACTGACAATACTAACAACTGGTTGTGATGACGCCCTCGCAAGAGGTCACGGTTGCAGCCGGTGCACTGTAATTGAGATGACTCTCAATACAGTAGGCATGGATATCTAACGAAGAGCAGGTCCTTCCTTTTGTTGGCAAAAGTTCTCGTTCTGAAGATCAGGTCAATTCACACAACGACCCAGCGACCGTGTCCTCATCTGCCGGCGGAGCTATGGGCGCAGATCCTCCATCACGTGGAAGACGAGTACACGCTTTGGGTCATCTGCCGACAGGTCTCGCGAACCTTCCGGGCTGAAGCCGAACGCGAATTTGCTAAGACACGTCTTCCACAGCTGCGCATCAATTGGGCATCTATGGGAGAAATCATGCACGAAAACAGGCTGCATGAATTCGATTGCAACGTCGAAGATCTAGAATTCCAAGGTCTCACTGAGGATGGTCTACGAGCTCAATTCACAGCCGCATTTGAATATGAACTGCGCAATCTGGAGGCACTGAAAAATCTGGAGGCGGCATATGTGCGAAGACTATACGATCGGACGCAGTACAAACCCTTGTTGGAAAAGACCTTCGCCGAGCTGATCCCCTTTCGCTACCTAGACTTCAAGAAGCGAGTCGACAGGCAATACTGGACAAGACAAATGGCTTTGATTGGCGGTTATGTCGGCAACGCCCAGCTTACGGATGTATCGATCGACCTTGACAACAAAACCATCGCTTTCGATTGGAAGACCTTTTTGAACGACTTCTTCCAGCTCACCACCTACGTTCGAGCACGAAGGCCGACTCAAGGAACCGTGAGCGACCTGGCGAAACAGGCGTTCGAAGCCTTTCGTCTCCAAAAATCCCCTTACACCAAAACGCGACTGGATACGCTTCGGTTGGAGCGCAAATCGTGGGAACATGTCTATGGTGAAGAGGACGACGACTGCCATACAGAAGCGTACTTCCGCCGCATACGATCCGCACACAGCGAAGCTGGACTAGATTTCGATCTAAACAATATGATGGATGGTATGGACGAAGCGGAAATCAGGAAGACGGAGGTCAAGGCTACCGCACTCATGAGATTGTTCAGGAACATTCGGTTGATGAATAGCTTCCGTGACGGATACGAGAGCGATGGAAGCAACGGGGGAAGTCCATGAGTGTGGGCCGGTACCGACAATCAGGCGGCTGGAGAGTTCAGTGAGAAGTGCGGGACCAATGTAGGCTCCCTGATAGGGTTGCAGTGCTTGTGAAGGGGGTTATGAAAGGGCGCCTTCTCCAAATCTGTATGTAATCTGGACAGACAGATAGCCGCTCCAAGCACAACGATCACCCTAGTCGCACATGACCTGCCTCCTTCGATATCTGGAGTATCAAATCATGCCGGTTTATCCAGAAGCAGGGCTAGGCAAACGAATGCAGAACGGGAGACGATTGCCGTCACGGTAGGTGTCACAGTCTCGACTGCCACCATGCAGCCAATGCAGGAGCTGTCAAAGAGTTTGAAAAGCACTTCAGGATGCTGACAGGAGCCCAACGTCCCGCGCGCACTCGCATCTTGGCCTCAGGAATGAAAGGGTGCCTCCTGCAAGCGTTCGAGCGACGTTCATCGAGCTGGGGAAGTGTCGCACCTTCTGCGGGATCACCGCTGAAACCGTTCGCTTGAGCTCTGACACAGCTCACTCTGCGAACTTCATGGGTTTCGAAACGGTTGTCACTGCGAAAGATCCTCCGCAGTGAGTCCGCACGGCCTGTCACTCACCTGTCTAAACGAAACATGCCGACCGACTTCCTGGTGGCGGCTGCAACGTCGTCCCGCAATGCACCACGAGTATGCTCGCTAGCTAGACGGGTGTGTCACCAGCTTACGGTGGATGCGAAAAAGAAAGAAGACTAATGTCGCTACTTCCATAGCCTTGCAGCAGGCTAATAAGCCAACATTACCCCTCTTTTATTGCCAATGAGGCCATGGCATTCCTCCGTCAGACGATTAGAGCGCATTTTGCGGCTCGAGGGTAACCTGGTTCTGGGCTCCAGGGTTAACGGCTTTGCTGCACACCTCCCACACCCGTGGAAGTTTTGCAGTGTGCGCGTGCCGGTATCGAAGACGAAGGGCAAGCTTCCAGGCTTGGGGACGCAGCCCCTCACTTACACCAACATCGCGATCTAGGCGTAAGGAAACAGATCCTGTCTATTTTGAATAGGACGGATGGTCAAGCTCGCACACAACGAGCTTCAGATTCGGCAGATGCGCCTAACCGAAGCTGTGCGTAGCATCGGTGACTTTGCGGAAGCACATGCAATGAGACGAGCACGAGACCCACGCCGCATCTCCTTCCGAAGGCTACCTGAGGACGCCTTTCCAGAACCCACGGTTGCCGTATCTTCCGTTAATCTCTGTTGAGTACCCAGTTAATTAGCCAACATTTGGGCTTGAAGCGGGGCGTTCGATAGTGCGTGCATGCCGCTATCGGGTCATTTACTGACTTTGTTCAGCCAGATCAGGTCATTTATCAGCCGTGCGATGCGTGGCGTCTGCAGCGCACAGGCGGCGGGTGAAGGCCAGGGAGGCCTGGGCGTTGTGGCATCCAACCTCCCGTTCGAGCAAGTGCAAACCCAATCCCCAAAACTGTGGGCACTTCTGCCGACGTTTGGTGTTCGTCTGGAGGGCCTGATGCTGAAACTAAAGAATCCTTCGTTGGACGTTGGTTGACTGTGACGAGCCTGAGCCTGAGCCAACTGCGCCGCCTCCCTAAGGCAGAATCGACGTCTCGCTGTCAGACATCGCGATGAGCATGGAGGCGATGTCTGCAAAAACCAACGTTCACAAGACTTGGGAGCGCGAATGGAGGCTCAACACGAAGATAGAAGAGCGCCACCGGAATGCGGCTCACTAGAAGGCAGGTAATGCCCATCGTATCGCTCGCCCATCCCTGTCTTCTCATCGCAAGATTGCACGTATCAGCGCTTACAGCAGACACAAGCCTTTTAGCCAGATGCCGAGAGCGGCAAGGTGACATGCGGAAAGCGGATTACCCTGAGACGCTAAAGCCACCTCCAGGTATCACCAATTTGGCGTGCATATCGCTTCAAGGATAATAGTAGGAAATCTGGTCAGGATCATGGTCCGTGCCCATGTACCTACACATGGCGGCGCATGCGTGCCCTTGCCGGCGGGCCTGTCTAACGGCCAAGCGCGAAGGTTACAGACGAAAGTATAAGTCTGTCGAACCGCCTGGTCTAAGAGGTAGTGTAACAACGATACCAGCCTCGAGTTCTCAACGCTAGCAAAGACTAAGGGACGTCACTTCTATTTTGATATCATCGATCACTTCATCGCTCCTCTTGCATTCGGTCGCAGTACATCTTCATCGCTCCTCGGTCGCAGTATATATACCAGCCTCGCATATCGCATTACCAACAACACTTCCTCAACCTTGAGTATCGCATTACCAACGACACTTCCTCATCCTTGAGTATCATCATAACCAGTGATCATGCTCTTCTCTACCATCACTACGGCACTGCTCTTTGCCGCATCTGCCACTGCAGCTGCCCTACCAAGACCTGCCAAACCGCAATACGCTCCCGCCCGTAACCTCAACAAGCTCGCCAAACTCTTTCCCAAGAGCGCTCTTCAAGGCCCAGGCGACTTGGATCTCAAGTACGTTGTGCTCGGCATCGGCACACAGAACTACACTTGCGGCTCTGATGAGAGCGCGGCTCCTGGTACTACTGGCGCATTTGGTAAGAACCCACTCAACTTGACAGGAAAGGAGCTAACAACCACCAAGCCACCCTATACGATATCGGTACAAAGCTCAACGACGAAGCATATGCCAAGTGGAAGATTCCCTCTATCACCCCTCTCGCACTCTCACTGTACGAAGTGGCTCCTGGGCTAGTCGACATGAGCCTCCGACTCCAGGGCTACGAACATATCACCGGTCACCACTTCTTCGCCGACGTAGAAGGAGCGAACACACCAACATTCGCCTTCGACAAACTGAGCACGCCATTCCCCATGACCCAAGTGGCCAAGATCAGCAACGTCAGTGCACCATCGTACGCATGCCCAGGCAAGAACGGTCTACCTGCCGTCGACTGGCTATACCTACAGCACAAGACTGGCATCACTCAGGGAGGAATCAACACCGTCTACCGTGTCGAGACTGCTGGTGGTAACAAGCCTGCCACTTGCAAAGGCATGCCAGCCACATGGGAAGTCAAGTACGCTGCGCAATGTAAGTATACCCGAAACACCCACGCAGCTAGAATAGGCCACTAACATCTCACAGACTGGGTCTATGGTCCCAAGTAATAAGCGCCGAGCTTGCGACGCTCGTTTCGAGTCAGTTACGAACACTACCATTTTCTCATGCCTTCTACGATCTTTCCATAATTAGGTTAGTCGCGCGCGGCTATTTTTGTCCCGCAAGATCTACGGCAGGGCATGGATTTTCTTTTCTTGTAACCTTTCATTTCATCTCTTACATCTACGATACCCTTTGGTTTTCATGGTTCACACGACTGTGTGGGACTTCGCTGTTACTGCGGGGCATCGGCATGGCTATGGGCGTTTACGGTTTTTGGCATCTGGTGGCTATAGTGCACAAGGATTGGATGGGTCCTTTCGATAATTCTAAAAAGCTTCTTGCTTACATTGCGGTCGCAAATACTAGAACAGTGGTTCTTCTCTTTATGATGTGCTTCACTGCGCAATACATCACTTATGCGACATCAATGACAGTATCGCGAAGGGCCTGTATCGCTCGCATCTCACCACCTCTCCTTGGAAAGTGCCATGACTGCGCCCAGCGAAAGCTGGTAGTAGCAAAGTGAAGAACAGTCAAGAGACATCGCCATCCCACCGTCACACAGCCAACACGGCACATTCATAGCCGCACTCTACCAACACGGTCTGCTGACATCGACCAAGTGCTGCGCTACATACCATACCCACTGACCACGTTGCGGCACAACTCGCAGCATGCGGCACAGTAAGGCGCGCAAGGCTGCTTGCGCTACGATCTGCACCCCATCTGACGTGCGATGCTGCCAACCTCTCGTTTACCTACAACACTACCGATACCCACAACCAACTTCCTCCCAAGCACTCAATGTCTCTCACGCGCCCCCTTCGTACCAAAACCAAGAAAGCCTTACCCCAATACATGACGTGAACCACTCGCCCAGCCCTACAGCCCCTTCCGTCAGCCATTATTACGAGAACTACGTTCAAGTATGTGATTGGATGCAGACTACACGACACAATGGTTCGTACTACTTTGGTGGCTGTGGCAGCGGGTATTTGGCTTGGCAAAGCGGGTGTGGATGGTGTGGCACAAATCTGGTTTGACGGCGGCTACCTAGGGTCGTCCGGAGTTTTACTACTTGGAAGCAGGACGCACGTATGCAGGTTTAGCGTAGACAATATTAGTCACTTGGTACTGGGAAAAAGGAATCGAAGAAAGTGGGCACGGGAATTTGGCTTCCGTGCCAATGATGTGGCGTACCTGCATCCGGGACGATGCCAATGTATTTTTTGTTTGGATCTTCATTATGTAGCTCGAATTCATTGCACCAATGTTCACCTCTGGTCTGCCTTCTCTGTGTGTTGGACAGTCACTTCTCTTGTGCGCATGATGCCCTTCCAAGTTCTCCATGTCATCCAAGGTGCCAGTCGTTGTCAGAAAGATCAGTCGACACTACCTAGGTATAGAGGGCTTTGCTGAACTGCCAATCTTCTGGTCACATATGATGCTTGAAGGGCTCGCGCTATTCTTGAACCTTGGCTTTCGAGTTGTTTGGACGCTGCGATGATATTTATAAGCATGTGATCGCTAGAAGAACGGAAATTGGCTGTCTTATTACAAACTTTAGTACTGTTGCTCGATGCATTCGCTTATGATCTCCCAAAAGTCCATGCATGGAGTGCAACATGGGACTAGGTTGTGCAAGATTCAGTGTGTCATGATTTGTTTAAAATCTTGGAGAGTCTGACGACACTGATCTGTCGTGTGTGATGAGCAGAACCGTGGGTGTAAACTTGGCGAAAACTTCCACCAAATCCATAGCCATCCATTCGGACGTTAGTCATCGACCGTCAGTGATTGCGCTGCCAATTTGGATTGCGTTATTGCTTTCGTGTATTGTAGAA